TGTGTTTCGGAGTTTTTAGTGATTGTTTTTGTTTTGCGACCCAGTTTACTACTACGTACATTGATTTATTGCTTCTCTGCTGACCCTCTGTTTGTTATATGGTTTCTAATTTGTCTGTGATTTGGGTTCCGTCATGTGTTATTTTACAATAACAAGTTCAGTTTCAGGTATGTCCCCTATCCGTGCATTTACTGATTGTTTTGTTCAAATGTTATTTCTATGTGATTTTTTCGTCCCTTGTTCCATATTCTAACAGATTTTAACTCATTCCAGTTTATTGACAATGGCGTGCCTACAGTGCACCTCTATAATAGATAAAAATGAACATTATTATGCTGCCGATGATATGGGTCCTGAAATAATTTCCGTCATCGAGCGGCATCTTGGCCATGTGGTAAAAAAAATATTTATCTATATACTGTAACATATCTATAAACACTTAATAACCCCTTTTTTGTTTTAGGTTGATGGAAACGGAGTGATGTACTCACAATGCTATGGTATCATAATACAAGAAATGTCTAATGATAGTGCTCTTGCACGCGGAGATCACAAACTCCAGCATTGCCATGATAGTAATGTTTGTGTTAGGTGTAGGACATCTTTGTTTAGGTGTGCTCACTCTATTCCTGTGGGTGCCGAAAGGCAATATATTACTGAAACAATTACTCCAAGAGAGGTAAGCACCCCTTTTGTTTTCTTTTTTATTCATACAAAGGTATGCAAATGTAGATGTTTCTTAATTATAGTCAAAGACAACATCGTTTCAAGAAGGAAAAGAACAGTCACAATTTAATTTTTGGAAATGTCTGTAGACATGTGATTTATATATAACATCACCTTGGATGAGTCTATAAAAGTGATATTGAAATAACTAAATCTTGATTAATTTAAATTATTTAGAAATATTGTGATACAAATAAATAAACCTTAATTTCATAGAATATAATAGAATGATTTTTTATTCAATATTAATTATTACATAATACTTATTTAAGTCATTTTTTATATACATTTTTTGTTTTAGATACCTGAAGGTGCTTTAATATGTTTTGCTTGTTGGGTACATACTTGGCATACAATACAACAACAAGGAATCATATCAGCTTCTACTGTTGTTATGAATATGAATGTATGTGTATGGTGCTGATGGTCTCTTGCCCAGACACACAGCCACTCCATACCTGAAGGACCTGAACAGACCATAATAACAGAAACAATATATCCAAGAGAGGTAACATTAACAATTTACTTAATTACCTAGTGTTGGAATGAAATAATTGTGTGAATAGCCAATACATATTGTATTCTTTTCTTTTATTCAGATTCCACCCGGAGGACTGGTTTTCTATGCTTCTTGGGTAGCAACATGTAAAAATGTGGAGCATGCTACAAGTATTGAGGATAATCGGCAAACTCCAACCCCAATTAGCCTTCACCAAGACTAATGTATGCATGGTGTAGAATGTCTCTACACCGAAGGTTAACACACATGGCTAGATTCCTGTAAGAGATAAACTTGCAGCAAGAATTTACCTAAATCAGGTTAGATTATTTTAATTTACCAAACCACCATACGCAAGTAATGTTACTGTACATTCAACTATAAGTAACTTTATCTGTTGCCCCTATAAGTAAATTGTTTCCTGCATTGTTTCAGTTACCAGAACATGTGCTTATTCGTTCCAACTGGTTGACACGTGCACAGGAAAACATGGGAATAGAGCAAGAAGTTGTGCAACAAATTGATATGCAGCCACCAAGTGCATCAATAACACTTGATGGTTTTACACACACAACACAGACAAGTGCTCATTGTTTTGTGCCGGCTTGTAACAATGTAGAACGAAATAGAGTGCCGGAATACTTAAGAAAAATTATATATATATATATATATATATATATATATTATTATTATTATATATAATCAATCACACAATAAATGATTTAATTAATATGAATTTATTAATACCCGAGGGCTTGTTTGGAAACAGAGAGGCAAGAGTACCAATAATAATATGTGACGGACCTATATATATATATATATATCTTCAAAAATCATCCAACTACTTGTTTCAAAAACGAACTTATAGCTTGCACAAATATAGAAATCTTGTTTAACCTTTTCTCATTGGCATCTCAGTGGCACTGATGGTTACATTATTGATATTTTGGGGCCCTATCCAACAACCAAATCAGATTATGACATCATGAAAGCTTTGTTCCAAAATGAAAATGAGGGTCTAAGGGCTTTTTTTTCAGCCCAATGTTTTCATTTTGTGTCAAGGCTTTCGTGATTCCATTCCAATGCTAGAGGGGTTGGGCTTCAAAGTATTTAAACATGAATCCTTAGAACAAGGAGAGACTCAGTTATCGACCATCAATACGAACAAGACAAGGTGTGTGACACTATGCAGATGGGTGGTAGAGGTGGTTAATGGTCGATTTAAAAGAGACTTTAAGTGACTGAGACATGAATATTTTGATTTGGCTGCCACCCATTTAATGGACGATGTTAGTATTTGGACGATGCTGTAATTAATGCCTTCCATCCAGTGATTGAAAATAGACCAAATGCTGTAGCTATACTTGAGCAATACAGAGTGAAAATATGCCCAACCGGTTAGCAGAATTTATAATTGCTAACCGGATCAACCGCTTTAGAGCCCAATTCACAAGAATTGATGGTCAACTTCCAGAGTTAAGTATTTTCCCTAAAATGACTATGCCTGAATTGATACTTTTTGGGCTGGGTACCTATCAAATAAAACAGGCTAGAAGCTATTTCGGGGAACATATTAGGCAGCATGTATCATTTCAGGTATCGGACCAACTGGAAGTAGTAGCAGAAGCAACTTCATCCCAACTTGATCCTTTTTTAATAAGAGCCTGTATAAAAACTCGACATAGCTCAGGACGAACATATTATACCTACATATTGCTGGCAAGGGAATGATCAAGTGGGAATGATAAAATAATTAGTTATTATTGTAATTGTATCTCCGGACATCAGACAATGGGTTGCTGTGCTCACGTCATGACCACTGTGTGGTATTTGGGTTGGGCTCAGTACCAAGAGCATAGAAGCACCGGTGTCATTCCTGGATGGAATATTAATAAGGGATGATGTGGAAAATGAATAAAATCATAAGTTCCAACAAGTTGTTTTATTTATATACCTCTCATGACTGATTTCTCGTCTTTTTGATGTCGCTAATACTAGGAATTATATAACATAGAACTTGTTTGAAAAATTGATAGTGTTAAGTTGGGACACTGGGCTGGCATGGTGGATTACACAGTCCAATCCCTCACAGAAAGGAAGTATATGTCCCAGCAGTGGGAACATTATAGGTTGATTGTGCTGCTCCTGCCTAATTGAACTAAAATAGTTGGTATCTTCTCTGCTGTTACTGTGTAATAGGAATAGTTAAGTACTTTAACAATAACTTGCAGTTGTCAGATACTGCACAGCTCACTGCTCGCCTATGAATTATCGAAGTCCAGAATATATTGATAGGCACTAAAGATGAAGCAGCAGGAAAGTGTTAATAAACAAAATAACTTTCAAGCCCTCGTTTCATTTCGATATAACCAATCTCTAACTACTCTAATAGGTGATATAAGATGTGCTGCCGCAATCGAGTTGAATATCCTGTAGTCTAAGTTTATCGTATCCAAGATTTTCGAAATTCGTGTTGTAATGTTGTTTTTTTTATTGTTGATATTACAATATACGTCAATCAAATGTTAATGTCAAAATGACATTTTTCGTGTAAGTCTGTGGTAGAGTGGTAGAGCCACGCGGCAGCTTTTGCTGTCGCACGGATGGGCCGGCTCGAACCGGGGTGGTACCACGACCTCACAGAAAACCAGCGTGAAGTAGAGGTTTACCTCTGCGTTTCGCTTTGTGAGTGCAGGTGGCCGGAGGCCCTTTTTACTGGAAATGAGGCATTCCATCTTAGTCCTCACGGGTGACAACGCATCTACATTTTGACTTGTAAGAGAGGATGTATGTAGATGTCTATGGGCCGCAGAAACCACTTACCATCAGGTGGACTGTGTGCTCGTTTGTCACCCTTGTCCTATAAAAAAAAAAAAAAAAGTCTATGGTTTTGTCTGTGTGATCCACCATGTTTAATTTAATGTTGTGTTGCTCTCCTTGACTAAGTTAATTTGAATGTACATTGAAACGAAGTGAAATTAAAGAAAACTAACAATAAAAAACGGTTACTATATTATATAGCGATATTTACATATAGTGTACATAGTGCTAGCCCAGGCTCCATACATTTCTGGAACATCTCCTTTCGAGTACAATAAATGAAGACTCGAATGAAGGTAGTGTTTCTATTCGCCTATATATAATGTACTCTGTGTCTGTGGTTTCTATATAGTTTGTGAAGATAACACACAGCGGAGAAAACGGAAAAACGAAAAATAGCAATAATCATCATTCATCAGGAACAGATATAAAAGTGATGAAAGGTGAAAGCCAGAAGTCAGAGTAAATCAGAAAAAGATGACTATTCTTTGAAACAATGGCTAAAACAGTCAAGAAGTTACCTAGAATAGATCAAGTTAAGTTAAAATTTGATATAATGAAACTGGTCTATGAAAAAGAAATGAGGTGGAAAGAACCGTCCGTCAGCCGCGGCGTTCGATAGTTTGTTCTCAGCTTTATAAGATTATAAGTTGTAGCATAGATAACAGCCACAGCCTTGAACGAGTGGTTAGTTCGTTCAAGATAACAGCTAGCTTGCTACATATATATTTATCTATGATAACAGCCTTACGATAAAATTTAGTTTTTGTTCTAATTGAATAATACGCTCTGTTGTAAATTTTTCTCACTTTTTGTTTATCAAAAGTTATTTCAATCACCAATTTTTTTAATTATTAGGTAATTTTTACTAATAAAATTCCCATTGTTTTCTTATTTGGTGTTATGGCTTCTTTAATTTTGTCTCTTTAAGGTAATTAGGGGCAAGATAAAGATAATGGCTAATAAAATAGTTTTATCTATAACCAAACGCTTATATTCTGGTTCTGTTGGAAGAATTCAAGCTGAAAAATACGTTCTTACTAAACATTTTAGCGGAGAACCAAAGAAAAGTGACTTTAAAATTGTTTATGAAGAACTTCCAGAACTATCAGATGGAGGTATGAATATTTTGAATAATTTCAATATTTTAAATGTGTAATGCACCTAGTGAATAATCCTCAGGATTAATAATACCATGTTTGGTGTTGGTAGTTGGGATGTTTTTTTATCTTAAATAGGGCAAGATTATTCCAATGAGAACAATAACTAACATATATCATATATAATACGAATTACGAACATACTTAATATATTATTAGTTCCTTGCTACAAAGCTTATAGTCTATAATAATTTTCAAGTAATGTAATAATATACAATGTTATCTGGTAAAAGTAAAGTATCGGCTTATGTACCCACTGCTTGTTCTTCACTCATTCCGAAGAGTTCAATGTGTATTGGCGTTGCAAACTTCACATGTCCTGGATTTTTTTTTAAATCTCAGATATACAGGTTTCTATACATCTCTACAATGTATTACTTGACCATCAAATTGTTGGTAAAGAAAATTGACCATCAACACAGTCTTAATATTAAATAATGTCTGTGACCGATGACACTCACTATAATATTTTCAATATGCAACAATACATATTCATAAACGGTTAAGAAGTAGAGATTGTCTATATTTAAAGTTGCATGCCTTCCCTGCATTTTTGATAGTTTGTATCACTTTTATGATGTGGAAAGGGTGCAGATTCAGAATTATGTGATACATAATACAGTTAAAATCAAAATTATTTTAAAATACAAGAGTGGCACATGTAGTTTTAAATTAGACAATATCTACTGTCCTACTGGATTCCACTCCAAAACATATTTATATAATTTCAATTACAAATAATTTACATTTTATCAAACTGGGATCATGTTTAGGTTCTGGGCCATGGCAAGCAAGGTTGCCATATGTCACCTTTTTTAGATTATTTTCTAGTGATATGTAAATAACTCAATTTACAATTTTTGTATAATAGAAATTCATGAATTAAAACAATCATTTAAAATTATTCTAATTGGAATCAGTTGGGTAAAACTATAGACATCCTGTACTCGCGTCCGGGGGTGGGAGGGGGAGGGGAGGATTCAGGGGAAGCCCCCCTACCCTTCCCCCGTTGTGTAAAAGTATAGTTTATGAGTAATAATTTTTTTTGTAAAGTCATAACCTTACTTTTTTACACAGGAATATTGACTCAAAGTTAATTCTGCAATGGCTTCGACGCTGCCGGAAGTGCAGCCCCTTCACCCTTGTGTAGCAAATCACAGGCATCCATGCTCACCTCCGCAGCTACGTTTTATTGGTCGACCAGTCTCGGCCTCTACGGCTCACACAAGTGCCTGCGATTTGCTACATCGGGCAGGGGCCCTTCGCGCCTACGGCTTTACAGAAACACTCTAGGGGTAGGGCAGACAAGACTACATGGAGTCGAGGCGTTCTGGGTTAAAATTTAGAATCGTTTGGCAGGAAGAGGGGGCAGGGGATGAGGGGAGGGGAAGGGAGGGGAGCGTCCCCTTACTCCTGACACCACTCCCATGAAAAGTTAATACACCATTCTTGAGAAATATCAAAAAGATAATCGCATAAACCTAACCTGAAACTAACATTTATCGTCACCGGCAGGAGGGGGGGAGAGAGTAGCAGGAGTTCCCTATCAGGGAAAGCCCCTCTACCTTTCCCTCGTTTTGGAAAAGTATAGTTTATGAGTAATGTTTTTTTTTGTAAAGTCATAACCTCACTTTTTTACACAGGAATATTGACCCAAAGTTACTCCTACAATGGCTTCGGAGCTACGGGAAGTGCAGCCCCTTCGCCCTTGCGTAGCGAATCACAGGCACCCATGCCTGCGATTTGCTACAGCGGGCGGGGGCTGCTCTCCCTCCATGCCTACGGCTTCACAAAAACACTCTAGGAGTAGGGCAGACAAGACTACGTGAAGTCGGAGCGTGCTGTTTTAATTTTAGTACAGATTTGATCAGATCAGATATCTTATCTATAAAGTCAGGTTGCCTTCGCTCCCACCACAAGCTTCTAACCTATTACAACTGAAATTATTTCTGGGTGTTCAAGTATTTCTGGACAGTTTTAAACAATTCAGAAATAAAACAGTATATTATAATCATTTCTTTATTGTCTGTAAACATATATTTTTTAATTAATTCCTCAAAAGGATCTCTTTTATTCTTTATAATTTCTCTTTTTTTTTATATAGGATAAGGGTGACAAACGAGCACACAGTCCACCTGATGGTAAGTGGTTGCTGTGGCCCATAGACATCTACATCTATAAATACCTTCTCCATAAATATTCATATTTCAAGTCGGTAAAATTTTCTCTATTATTATAGTTGTCTTTAGTGAAATATCTCTTGACAGAGAGTATAGACAGTAGAATAATGTGACAATAGTCTTACGTCCTTGTCGCACTTACGCAAAACTCTGTAATTTTTCCATGCTTTACGCATTTTAGGTTATAATAGTTTTTATTTATTTTTTCGATAACAGTGCATTACCTTTTAATGTGAGTGGTATTATTATAATCGCGGACCAAATCTCTGCCAAATAAAACACCTTACTCCGCCAAATTCGTGCCAAACGATTCTAAAACCAACCCGCGTTCTGATTCGGTTTTAGTACAGATTCGACCTATTTTATCTATAAAGTCAGGTTGCCCTAAACTCTGCTATGATAGTGTTAAATTAAACAATACAATGTCAATTGTTCTAATTTTGTTTTCTGAAAAACCCTCTTTGACTGCTCTCCAGTGCAACTCAATTCTTTATGTATGAGTCCCATCTTCAGCCACAAATAGATTGTCTGGGTCATTTTTTTTTGTGGGTGACTCGTTTCGTTTTGTTCAATTTTTAGTGAAATTTAGTTTTATCGTAATTAATTCAAAACACATTTCCGTAATCCAAAAACAGTATTAAAGGTTCTAGCTTAACCCTGACAAACCTCCTAACCTAAAAACATAATTAACATCAAGTACTCGACGCACTTCTATAATACTTGACCAAATTGACATATTTGCGTTTCATTATACGCAATCTTTAGTGAAATTTATTTTTATCGTATTTAATTCCAAACGCATTTCCGACATCCAAATACAGTTTAAAAGATTCAAACTTAATCCTGACAAGTCTCCTAAACTAGAAACATTTAAAATCAAGTACCGTACGTCTAATTCATAATACTAGACCAAATTGACATATTTGCGTTTCGTTATATGCAATTTTTAGTGAAATTTATTTTTATCGTAATTAATTAAAAACGCATTTCCGACATCCAAAAACAGTGTAAAAAGGTTCAAGCTTAACCCTGGCAAGCCTCCTAAACTGAAAACATAATTCATAATTCATTTATTGCATGTCACAAAGTATAAAGTTGTTACAATATATCTACAGAGCATGTGACAACCCTGTACGGGCGTAGCATACTAAGATTGATTCTAATTGTTAATTAATATGACATCAAATTAAATTACAATGTTTAAGGTACATAATCTATACATTATTATTAATTTATTTATTAAATATCAAACCAAATAATACACACATTTCATTTAAAATGAAATGTCAATAAATATTTCATCTTAACTATTGGTCATTTTAATTCATATAAATAAGATTTAAAACTTTGATGAAAATATTAATAATGTCATTTAAGTAAATAGAAATAATAAATTTTGTCAAAATAATTTAAATTTATAATTTGTCATTAAAATATTCATTTAAGTTATAATAGCTTTTTACAATAAGCATTTTCTTAAGTACTATTTCAAATTTACGACACTGGAGGGCTTTTATATTATTGGGTAAATGTTAATTAAAATATATAAGCATAATTAAAATCAAGTACCGGAAGTATATATAGCCAACCCATAAGTTGTAATGATGTATAATGCAGAATGTATTGAAAACAATGTGCATTATTTCGAACAACTGATTAATTGAAACTTATAAATGTAAGAATAATACATTTTAAAATAGCATTTTAATAAAAATGAGATCTTTCCGCTTGAGCTACTTTGAGATTGTGAATAAGTTGTTCCATTAGCATCCCAAGTTTCTGAACTATATGGGACTGCAATTTATAATGAAATCCCGAGTTCCTTTGGCTCCACTATTTGATTGTAATTATTTTCATACTACTAATGTGTCAAACAAACACAGTCTGATAAAAATATTTAATATAATATATACGTTAATAAATTTAAATTATATAAATATATATACTTTTCCATGAATTCTGGAATTATTTTTTCGAAAAATATGATACTTGAAAACCACATATTCATCCGACAATTTGTGTAATGAATTCAAACACGTGTGTTTTGGTATGGTAAATTTTATGAAATAAAATTAAGAGGTTTTCGTGAGACCTTGCATGACCGCAAGCATTTCACTGCACCTGTATTTTCGTCGTGGATTTTGAATACTGAAATGTGCTGCAAATTTTGTGTATTGACATATGTACATTTATGACTTTATCTATACATGGTAGAACCATGCTGCAGCTATATTAGCAGTATAGTTGTAGCATGAATGGATCGGCTCGACCGCTCTCACAGAACACCAGCGTAAAATAGAGACCCTTTTTATTGGAAAAGAGGCATTGTATCTTAGTCCTCACGGGCAGGAATTGATTGCGGTTAAGGTTACGCTACCGATACAAAATATTGATATCGCAATTTTTTAAAAGTAAACCAAAAGCGGTTAAAATTTAAAGATACGCAACCGGTATAAAATACACTATTTTTAAGGGGTTCTGTTACAAATTTGTATAACCTTTACATAAACGAAATTATTTCGGAAACGAAAAATATCGCGCGGCGCGGATCAGTACGACCCAACGTTGCAAGTTCACTCACTGAGAGAACTTGCAACGTCGCTATCTATGTTAATGGGGTTGTTATAAATTAATTTGCTAAATTCCGCGTAAAGAAAGAAAATGATGTGTCCTGTCCAGTTTTAAGGGGACCTCCCACCCTCCCTCAATCGCGCGCACTATATCCGTCGCCTTCAATCCCAGCACTACCATCACCAGCACCACGACACTAGACACGAC